TTTTTTTTGTTAAACTGAAGCATTCTAAATAAAACAAAATAAAATTAATAATCTTGATTTAGTGGTTGAAAAAGTTTACTCCTTTCCTTAACTTCATGGGTTAAAACCTTGGGCATTCAAATAAAAAAAAAATCAAAATATAATAGAAAAAATTATATTTTTTTTCTATTGTTATATAAAAAACATAGTAAAACAATAAAAAAATATAAATTTAATTTCTTTTAAATCTAAACATTTTTTTAAAAAATGCATCAAACACGATTTCAAACTCAATACTAAATAGGCAATTAGTTAGGTTAATTAGGTTACAGCTCAAATCCATTGATGTGGAAAATAAAAAGACTAAAGATTAAAAAAAAAAAGTTAGAGAAAAAGTAAAGGATTCGCCACCGAATTTCAGCTACTTTGAAGGCAGAACTTATTGTTTACATCGATGTTGGCCATGGTTTCAACAGTCAGCATTTAAGTCTTCGTCTTTAGTCTTTTTCTAGTCCTTGTGATGACAAAAGGCTACCATTTCGAGGTTTTGCAATTGCAGATCGGTAAACGGAGCGTGAGAGACACGTCCAATGTCTAGGCTTGCACCATATGCTTCTCCTCCTTCACTCGAGCGTGTTAGGCTGTCTTGGGGTTTCTTTTCCTCCACTACAAACACAGACCGAAAAGTGTTTTACGGGTCCCCTAAACGTGTTTCTGCCCCCATTTGTTGGGCAAAAATTATAGATCATCTCCCTCCTCCTCTGCATTTTCAGGCAGTTTTAATAATTAACTTAATTTAGATTTAAAAAATACAGTTAATTTTTAGTGTTTAATTGAAAGTGTGGTAATGATTATTTTCAAAAAAATTATGCTAAAATATATTAAAATAATTTTTTTTATTTTTAAAATTAATATATCAAAATATATTAAAAAATAATTTTTTATAAAATACTTTTAAATTTAAAAAAAATATAATTTATACCAAGTTACCAAATGTTCATTAAAGACTATCTGTGGCTTCTCTCTAGTTCTCGGAATTTCAATGCATTTTTTAGCGATTGAAAAAACAAGAAACTTATGAGTAATTTAAAAATAGTAGAAATTGTGAACTAAAAGCAACAAAAAAAATTATTTTATTTTGAAAGCAATTCTTTTTATTGCATGAAAAAAATAAAAAAATTCAATTATTGGCCTCATCTTCATCATCTCAATGACTAACCAGTTTTATATAAAAATATTTCCAAACTTTAATGGCACAAATAAGAAAAAAGAGCTTGACACTAATTCATTTTCTTTGACGTGTATCAATGAAAACATTGATATTATATTTGATAGATATTTTCTGATGAAAATAATAATGAAGAATTTTCAACAGTAATTTCCTATAGAAATAATAATGATAAAATTTGTTATTTTTTTATATTAATTTTTAAGCATCACAGAAACACACACACACAATCTTAAATAGACTATCCATACTCAAATCTGTTGTAAGTGTCATATATATATATATATATATATATATGTTGCTCTCTAATCACTCCAACTCGAGTGCATGTAAAATCATGTTTACACTCAATGCAGCATTTGGCGGACACCATCATTACGAAAATTGAGATAGAATTGGAAGAATCAGTGAGATGATAAAAGATAGCGTCAAATAATATTTTTTTTCCACCAAACTTAATTGTGATATTTGATCCGAAAATATTTGAGGATCCGATGAGATCAAATTTGCTTATCTTTTGGGAGTGATTTCGTTTACTTCGAACGAAAAAAGAAAAAGAAAAAGAAAAGGAAAAGGAAAAGGAAAAGAGAATATGCAAAGATACTGAACATGGGAAGGTATGCGTTTGACACTGTATCCATGGAGCGTGCAAGTTACAAAAAATATATTAAAGGGCAGTGTTCAATCAATTTTTGGAATCCTCTAGGAAGTTGCCGTGCAATTTCCCATAACGAATGGCATACGTTGCCAGTCATCTTCTCTGCACTGCCATTTCGTTGCAACTTCCACTATTGAATATTTTTATTTCAAAATAAATACGATGCTTGCTTTCTCCTATCTATTTAAACCCGTGCATGCCCGGTTGTTACTTTATAACTTCTCACATGTATATATTTCGTTTTCACTTCCCTCATGGAAACTGAAATAGCTTCAAAATCTTCCAAGTGGTTCTCTAACAAGGGTCTGCGGTTAAGCCTCCATCGTCGTAGATCAAAGTCTAGCTCAACATCAAGTTCCCCTAACTCTCCTGTGTCTCCATGTACACCAAAAAAAGATAGCACTAAAGAAGATGAGCTTAGAGAGGTTTTTCGTTGTTTCGATAGTGATGGTGATGGAAGGATCTCAGCCCTAGAACTTAGGGCATACTTTGGATCCATAGGGGAGTACATGTCACATGAAGAGGCACAGTTAGCGATCAATGATCTCGATGCAGACCAGGACAACTTGTTGGACTTCCAGGATTTTTTGAGGCTAATGAAGAGGGAGACTAATGATAATACTGATGATCTCAAAATGGCCTTTGAAATGTTCGAAATGGAGAAGGGATCGGGATACATAACCCCTAAGGGCTTGCAAAGGATGCTGCGTCGTCTAGGAGATGCAAAGTCGTACGATGAGTGCGTGGCCATGATTCAGGTTTGGTGATGGTGAGCGCAGATATTGACGAGTCTGGCTATCTATGAAAATAACCGAACCGCTAATCTCAGCCTGGAAGGAAGGGAGGGAGGAGAAATTAACCAAACGAATCAAATGATAACAAATTAGCCAAGATCAAATCAAGCATGGACAGAGAGCTATGTACCTTAGCTAGTGAGTAGAGAAGAGAGGAGATGATGAACAGAGGCAAAACGCTGCGTATTTGGAAATCCATTGTCCAGACAGAGGGAGAGAGATCTGTGGTATGATCAATCAGGAGAGGAGAGAAGAACGTCGCGAAATCTCATTAATCCTTTGATGGAGACAGAAAGAAAAAAAGCGACGTCGTGTCAATGTGGGCTGCTTTTAAATTAATCGGGCTTTTGTTAGCTATAAAAGGGGTTTGGGCTGATAAAATTTAGTTAGGAAAATAATGGTCGGCCCAGGTTATTGCTAATGGGCCCATAAAAAAATATTACGAGATAGCTATAGGCTTAATTATAGTTACTTTGAAACTTCAATAAGAGTATTGTTTAGGCTTCAATGGAAATAGTAATAGGTGGTGGAAAAATTTAGATTTAACCTAATTAAAAAAAACTGAGATTATAATTATTTAATCTGATTTGGTTTGATAGGTTGATTGAAGACCTGAAAAACCTACTCCTTGGCTTGGCTTGGTATAAAAAAGTCAATTTAATTTAATTATATATATATATTATAACCTCAATTTAATTTTTAAT